TGAAGGTGATCAATCTTCACTGGTGGCATTTCTGTCGACTTTTCACTAGCTTCACTACTATCTTTTCGTATTTTAGTCTTCATTGCTCTAGTCATTATATTTATGTCCTTCGTAGGTACCATTTCTTTCAATTCTTCTGAGCTCAATCTAGGATAGATAATGCGTCTGCATTAGTATCCATTTTGCCTTGTTTGAATACTATATCGAAATCATAATCCATTAAATCTACTCTTAATCTGGTTAACTTAGATGATGGATTCTTATGTGTAAATAAACTAACTAAAGGTATATGATCTGTGTATACTATAAATCTTCTTCCATATAAATAAGGTCTAAAATAATTAATGCCCCAATGTATTCCTAAAAGTTCCTTTCTATTACTGCTTTATTTAGCTCATGCCTGTTGAGCGACTTGCTCGAATAGGCGATTGGTTTATCTTTGCCGATTTCTCCTTGCGACAAAATTGCTCCTAAAGCATAATTTGATGCGTCAGTTGTCAGTATGAATGGTTTTGAAAAATCTGGGTAACTTAAAATCGGCGGTGTCATTAAATTCTCTTTTAAATTTGGAAATGCAACCTCACAACTGTCTGTCCAGCTGAAAATGTGATTCTTTTTTAATTGCTGGTTTAATGGTCTAACTATTTCCGCAAAATTTGGGATGAATCGTCTATAATAGTTGCAAAATGCTACAAACCTACGTACTTCATCAGCATTTTCTGGTGTTGGATATTCTTTTATAACCTTATACTTGCTTGGATTCGTGGTCACTCCATTGGCTGTTATTAAGTGACCTAGGTAGACTACTTCCGGTCGCAAAAAATTACATTTACTCGGGTTAAGCTTCAAATTGTATTTGCGCAATCTTTTGAAAACTTGCACTAAATTTATATTGTGCTCTTTAAGACTTGCACCGAAAATAGTGATATCATCTACATACAAGAATGCAGATGCTTGCAATCCACTCAATGCAATTGATAACATCCTTTGGAAGCTATTTGTTGAAATTTTTAAGCCAAATGGTAAACGCTTGAAATGGAAATGACCATTCTCTGTTGAGAAAGCTGTTAACGGTCTCGATTTCGAATGCAATGGAATCTGGTGAAAAGAACTTGTCATATCTAGTGTGGAAAAATATCTTGCTTTTCCAAGCTTGTCAAGTACATCTTCAAGTCTTGGCAAGGGAAATTTGTCATCCACAATCTTTTTGTTAAGTGACCTAAAGTCTACTACTAATCTCCACTTTTTCAAATCCCCAGTGCTTTTTTTTTGGCACAATCAATAGTGGTGAATTATATGGACTGACGGATGGCTCAATAATATCGTCGTCAAGCAAATCTAGAACCAGCTTATTAATCTCCTGAAAATTAGCGTGTGGCAACCTATAATTTTTTATATATACTGGTGATTTATCAGCTGTTATAATCTTCTGCTCATAAAAATTATTTTTTGTCAATTTTTCTCCATCTAAATGAAAGATGTCTTGGAATTCTTTACAAATCCTTGAAACCTCCATTGTTGCTTCTTCGTCTAAATTGTCAAATTGTATCTCTTCTTTAACCCTTTTAAATCTGTCTTCATCCACTAAATTCCTACAATGTAGTATATCATAACACCTTATTGGTTCAACACCCAAAGCTATACGTTCTAGTATCACTTCTTTATCTGAAGTATTTAACAATTTCACGTGTTTATACCCATCTGCTGGAATTATTGTGGTTGCTACAAAAACTCCTTTTCTAAGTTCTTTACCTAATACTACACAGTCTTCTTCTATAGCAATTTCTATGGGCGCTATTACTTCTGAACGGGCTGGTATTCTTACATTCATAACTGTTTTTAATTTCAATGTAATATCTTCCTCTTCTACTGTTCTTGTTAGTGTATATGTTTCATTACTTAAAAAGTCTCTTCCTAATATCCCATCGACAACTAAATTTATATTCTCATTAATAACATGAAATTTATGTTCAACCACTTTATTTTCTAATAGTAACTTAATGTTCACTGTGCCCATGGAACTTGTTGTATTATTCGTTATTCCATTGAACTCACAAAATTCCTCACTGTTTATTTTATTTAAAAATCTTGCATTATACTTCACTAATGATGCATCTGCTCCAGTGTCCACTAAAAACATTAATCCTGAATCATCGTGATTGGGGCCATCTAACTTAATAGTTACAAAGTTAGTAAATTTTTCATTAGTCGTTATACTTATGACCTTCTTTGTGCATACCCCGGATTTCCTGCTCCGGGGGCAACTCCGTTTCCCGAGTTGCCTTGCCGGTTTCCATTATTACTATAACCACCTCTGCTTGTGCTACAGTTATGTCTTCCACCATTATTGTTATGATCGCTTTGACCATGGGTAGTGTATCTTCTGCCGTTATTCCTTGCATTATTGCTGCTTAGGCGCCTTCCGTAACCTGTGCTACTATAATTTTCACTGTTTCGACCTCTGAACTGCCTATATCGATTGGAACTTCCTCTTGTTCTATTCATAAACATTACGTTATTATTACCTGCAGCATGTGAGCTTTGCACACTTGCTTCTGCCGCTAGTTGAATTGCTTCATTCAGTTTACTAGGTCTGGCGGCTAGGATTATGGATTTATAAGGATTATTTAGTCCACTTTTAAATGCACCTAAAGCAATTTGCTCATTAAGCTTCACTATTATCTCTCTATTCTGTTCACCTTGTTCTGCAATCTGTATGTCATTCATTGAAGCCACTAAGTTCTCTATTTTACTATCGAAAGCATTAACACTTAAATTTCCTTGCTGTGCTCGTGTTATTTCATGATGCAATTGTAGGGCGTTTTTATTGGATTTATAAATCTTTTGTAAAGTCTGTGCTAAATCTGTCAGTGTTGTGGGTCTATCTTCAGTTAATAACCTGTTCTTCACTTTGTCAGTTAGTTTGGTTGCTAGGATAAAATTTACTAGAACTGCATGTTGACTTTCTGCTAAAGTTTTGCCATAGAAATCTACCAATCCTAGAAATTGCGACAAACTTCTGTAATTACCATCAAACTCTGGTATTACTTTTACAGCTGTTGCTATGTCAAAGTTAGCCATGTTTACATATTTTCCTTGCTCCTGTTCTACTTGTTCACTTTCTTCTCCTTCTATCGGTATTAAAAATTTCTTTATTTCACTTGCTAACCTCAAGAATTGTCTTTTCGCCTTTTCTAAGTCCTCTGGTTTCTTTATTACTTTTACCAGCGATCCCCAAGCTGCTTCTATGACTTTATTTTTTTCTTCAATATAGTTCTTTGTATATTTCCTATTCGGACTTTTTTTTAAATTTGTCAATTAGTCTGTCAATACCTTCAATTCCATTAGATATATTCATATGTTAACATATTCTTTATTTTGTAAATTTGCTTTTATAAAAAAAACTTTTTTGAAATGTCTATGTTATTCTAGTAACTTCTAATTTTGTATATCATAAAATTTTGTCCTAAACTTCATTTCTAATTGCATTACGTAATAGCTATTTTCTCACATATTCTTTATAATGTTTGTTAATTAGATATAATATTAAAGCTATAATCCCTACAAGATTCACGTAAAGGATCCATGATGGTGTACCCCCTTTTGTGTTTGACAGTACAGCACTGCCTCCTGCAACATTATTGTCGTTTACTACTTCTTCCTTGCTTAGTCCAAAACCCACATTTGCTACGTTCCTCCTTTATTTGCTGAATCAGCCGCTGCTTTTGCCTATTGTCTACTGCTATTGCGACGATTCGGTGAAGCTCAGCTCCCCTCTGTCTCGCTTGTACCCTTTTCCCACCACGTTTTTTTCGTGGCTTTTTCTCAACTATTCGTTCTCTGAATTGCTTCAGAGCTTCTTGCTGTTTTGCCTGCCTCTGTTTGTACTCTGCTATAGTGATCTTCTTTTTGCCGGGAACATATGTTGGAGCTCCGGTTGCTGGGGTTCCAGGACTATATTCTTCTATTTACTTACCCATAAAAAAATGTTAAACCAACCTTGGCAGAACCTGTTTAATTCGGCAGGAACTGTTTAATTCGGCAGGATCGGTTTAATTCGGCAGGATCTGTTTAATTCGGCAGGATCTTGTTAAATTCGGCAGGATCTTGTTAAATTCGGCAGGATCTTGTTAAATTCGGCAGGACTCGCCAAATTATGTATATGGCACGAATGCCGCACTTTCAGTATTAATGGCAGGAGTGCCATTGATTAAAATTTAATGAAAGTGTTGTGCTATAATTTTAGTCATGTTTTTCATAGTGTTAATAATAAAAGCAATCATACGTTCTACTACACTGTAGTTTAGAATTAATAAAAAAGGTTATTTTACCTATAATAAAACTTAAGTCTTTCATTTATATGCATACGAATAGGTTCTATACTACATATTTTTTTATTGCTTAGGCTTCATTCAATAAAGTATATTGATGCAAAGTGTTAAACTCAACAAAAGTAAGTATAAGAAGATATAAAATATGAAAGAATATAAAAAATACTTGGTTTACTCTCTTAAATATTATACTATTTTTATGTAGAGGAACTTGACAGATTTGCAGCTTCATCGATGTTTGTTTCCTTGACGACTATAAATTAAAGGAAAATCATAAGGCGTTTGAAAAGCAAGTTTCAGTGAAAATTCATACATGTACTTACTTTTAATTATATTAAGTAGTGCTCCAGGCCTAGGCTTGCCGTTGATAGGTAACTGATGAAATTGCGTATTTATCAAGTCACACATTCCAGCGCAAGGCGCAGCGCAAGGCGCAGCGTAGGCGATGTTAAAAACATTGTATGCTTAAAAGCATAGTATATCCACAGCTTTAATATATAAATTTGTATTGTTTTTTTATCCAGCAAATCCCTTTTAAAAACGTTTAAAATTATATTATACGTTTCACAGCAGCCAACAATGATTTCCGCAATGACACGCAATGCAAAAAATATGATGAAATATTAAACTGCCGGTAATTGAGTATATTGTACGAAAATATTCGTATGCTGTACGAATTTAAAAAACATGTTTCTGCATTAGTACTTTATACGAAAGTATTAACTAAATTGTACGAATGCAGAATTGTAGATTCCGTATATTTTAAAACCACACGTAAATATTACGAATGCTCTCCTACAATATACAAAATTATTCGTACAGAGATTTGTTCAGTGCTTTACGAATATGTTTCGTAAAATAAACGTTAGATTTCGTAAATTGTACTGAAAAAATGCCTTACGAAAGTCCTTTCGTTATATTTACGTATGGTTCGTAAAATCTTGTTTCGTTGTGAAAAATGTGTTCGTATTATGAACGAAAGTTTCGTACATTGTACAAAAACCAACACTACGAAAGATTTTCGTAGAACTTTTACGAAATTTTATTTTCAGTGTGTTATTGTTTAAGCGACTTATGCATTTCCCGCATAAACAAAGAACAGCGAACACACAGGCGCATTTATATTGCATTTTCCGCATAAACTAAGTGCAGCGAACACACACACGCACTTGTGTTTAAAAGTAATTCGCTCGTTCTTAATTGGGTATACATTTTTTATGAAATTCTCAAATATCTCGTCGCTGAACTTAGTGAAGTGATAAGCTGCTGGCATTTTCAGCTATGGGCAACGCTAACCCAGCTTGGCTATCACACGGTGCTTTAAACATCACCCACACTCAACTCCCGGAGTAATTTTTGGCATGGTATTAAGCTACTGATTACAAACCACACTGGGGCTTTGCACGAATGCATCCCTAGATAAATCCATGCTCATTGCACAGCAGCCTACGGCAGCTAGAGCATGACTCCTCCAAAGGAGTCCCGCAATGAATACACGGTGAAAGGGTCACATCTTGCGCTACCGCTTCATCAGACTGCCCGGATATTTCTCTCTCTCTCTCATTCTCCCTAGCATATCAGGCATATGAAGTGCGTGGCTGACTGGATGTGCACCTAAAAACCATACGGGCTCATTGAGCTCGATACATAAACACTCGCAAAGGTAATCCCTACCTCCTCAACTACTCTAACTCGACCACAACTCTAAACCTGGTCTCCCGCTCTCCCTCAGCTAAACAGTTATTTCCTCACTTTGAATGTTGGAGTGAATATCATTAGTGGTATTCACCAAAGTGAGCAAGTGGCCTGGCAGTCTGGAAAAAGAGCAGACCAGCTCAAGCAACGACTGTTGTCAATACCAGTCTTATTTAGTTAATAGACATCCTTATTCTTCGCAGCAAGAAGCTCGTTCACTGAGCCTATAATTTTCGTAATTAAGAAACATTCTTTCGATCAGTTCTCCTTTCGATGTTCCTAAGTTACAAAAATTATCTGGCAATAAAATTTGTCTTAATCTCTCGTTGGCTGGCAGCAATCCGTTCCCAATGTCCAGTACTTGTCGCGAGAATACCTCGGCTGCAGTGTATATATGTTTGTCTTGCTACAATGTTGACTATTTCAGGCAAGCATTTATCTAGTGTTAATCAAGAAATTAAAGACAATGTTTGCGTAAAATCTCCTGAGAGAAATATCAATACATTCCCGAATGGTTGAACGTTTCCATGCAAATCCCACGACAATCGATCAAGAGCCTCAAGCAACTTTTTATGTGCCATCGTGCACTGATCCCAAATAGTTAGTTTAAATTTTTGTACTACTTTTTCCATACCGGATGTTCTGGAAATATTGCAAGTATGAGTTTCGATAAGTTATATGTTCATGATATGATAGCTAAGGTTATGTAATTGTTTGTACGAACCGTTGCCATAATCAATCTGATAAGACATGTTTTCCTAGTTCCTCCTGGCGCATCAAGAAGAAGGTCCCCTAACTCCGTCAATTATCATTTGCATATTCTTCCTCTTATTTGCCGCTGTAAACGCCTAAGCCATTTTGGCCGAGATCGACAGAGAACGCCAGTCGTTTATCTCTGTGCCAACTGACGACAATAGGAAATACCACGTGAATCCAAGTCCTTCTCCACTTGGTCTCTCCCTCTTCTTCTGCTACCACCAGCGGATTGCGAGTTTAATACTTTCAGAACTGGAACGTCGCTTTCCATTCGAACGACGTGGCCAAGCCAACAGAGCCGCCGTATTTTCATTCGCTACACTATGTCCATTTCGTTGTAAAGCTCATACAACTCATCGTTCCATCGTCTGCGGTACTCCCGTCGCCAACGCGCAGAGGCCTGTAAATCTTCCCTAAGATCTTTCTCTCCAATACTTCAAGAGCCGTCTCATCGAATGTTGGCATTGTCTAAGCTTCTTCGCCATTTGTCAGCTCGGGCATGATTAGTGACTTATAGAGAGTGGTTTTTGTACGTCGAGAGAGAACTTTACTCCCGAATTGCCTATTCAGTCCAAAGTTGCACTTGTTGGCTAAAGTGATTCTGCATTGGATTTCCATGCTGACATTATTATCGGTGTTAATGCTGGTTCCCAAGTAAACGATGTTCTCTACTTTCTCAAAATTGCAACTGGCAACAGTGATGTGGGTGTCAAGGCGGGAATACTCTGTCCCTTTGGTTGATGACAGGAGATACTTCGTCTTGTCTTCGTTGATCACCAAACCCAATCGCTTTGCTTCTTTATCAAACTTAGAAAAGGCAGGACAGACTTCGAGGTTTTTGTTACCGATGATATCGATTTCATTGGAATACGCCAGAAATTACACGCCCTTGTAAAAAATTGTTCCTGAGTGGGTCAGTTCTGCAGGCCCGTATTTTCTTAACACTTGCATCTTGCGATCGTAAATGCCTTTCTGAATTCGCTTTAATCTGGGAATGTTTGTTTGGGCATATAACAGGAGTTCGCAATAGTAATAGTAATCATAATCATAATAATATTACCTGATGTTATTCAAAATTTCTTTACTCGCAAAGTACTTCGTAGGCTATGGCGACCGAACGAAATCGTTTATGATTAAAATTTAACTGTTTTATAATGTAAAGGAATGGTGACAACAATTTTAAGTTTTCATTATTTCATTTCATGTGATATTTTTATGTTTTCGTTGCGGTTTTTACCATTTCTTCATTTGTATCAGTAGCTTTTTATTAATTTTTTTCCATTGCGTAATTTGTATACC